TCCCGCCCTGTGCACCCTTTTCTACGAGCTGTCAACTGACAGTTGGACAGCGCTACGACTCAAAAAGTCGCATTCTAGAAGCCCATCACACAGAACAAATCCCATAAATCCGTTTGAGTAATTTTTTTTTTTTTTTTTATGGCATCGTCACAGGCAAGACCCAGTTTTTACTTTAACACACTGATTAATATTTTGAAAATTTCATTGAGTTGCTGTGCTACTTTTTGACATTTTCCTGAGAAACACATTTGTAAGTGTAAATCTAGAGTGACAATTAATTGCATATGTAATTAAATTCTATAGAGTGTAATTATAATGAATGAGAGGGCGGGGCACATTGAACTCAGGGGAGTAACAAAAACAAAGTTGGCAACCAAAGTAAAAAAAAATTTCATGAAGTCAAATAATGTCAGAATGAACACCAGATAACATAAAGAACTAATGTCAATCAGAAGAAAGAAGCACATCTTAAATATAGCATGTAAAGTGCGAAAGTATCAAACAGGCATTTGAGTTTAAACAGAGGGGAAAAAAATAAAAAAAGATGACAAGTTGGATAGGGAAAACTGTGGGCTGGGACAGCTAGACGTTTTCTACAGCAAAAGACTATCCCATTTGGCATAAAGAAATATCTCTCATACACGGCAGATTAATTTCCCTCTCTATACTACCAGTGCAAAACATGACCAGGCACAACAGACCAGACAAGAAAATAAGTAACCTTGGACATCAGATTGCATTGACTGTACAAGAAGAATTAAAAAGACAAGAAGGAAACACACACACACATACACACACACACACACACATATATATATATATATATATATATATATATATATATATATATATACACATATATACATACAAACAAGCACACACACATACATACACATATATATACATACAAAAACACACACACACACACACACATTCACACACAAACATACGCACAATAGTAATGATAATATTATTAATAATAAAAAAATAATAGTAATAAGGTAGAACAAACGTTTAACAAAAGACCAACAGGGCTCAACATAGGAGGCAAAGTCGGTAGGGGGTCCAATGTCGGAAAATAAATTCCTCCACAAGTGCGGTGGATATTATAAAATCGATCCAACAGAACATAAGCCGTATGCTCTCGCTCTGATTCCATTAGACACAAGGCTGTAGTTGAGCTTCCTGCACTGGAGGCTAACTATCGGTTCAAAAAGATTGATGTCTCAGAAGATGATGCAATAAAAAATAATAATATCAGTATGTGCTCTGAATAGAAGAATATAGAATAGAGTAGGCAACCGGGGGAATTACGATAAAGGAAACCAAATTACTTTAGCGGCAACAGTTTAAATAAACTCGCATATGTTTGTGTGTATATATATGTATATGTATATATATATATATATATATATATATACATATACATATATATATATATATATATGTATATGTATATATATATATATATATATATATATATATATATATATATATATATATATATATATATATATATATACGTGTTATGCTGTTGACACAGTCTTAATAGAAACAAGTCAGAAAGAATCACAGAAAATAATGGTGGTATCAAAGAGAAGAATTATTCCTAAATGTGTAATAAAAGTCAATTGTGTTGTTTTGGGGAAAGTACAAAAATTTTAGTGTCTGGGCACATCGATAACATCAGATAGAAGATGCATTAGTGAGATAAGAAACAGAATAGGACAGGCAAAAACTGCATTTTATAAAATGAAGAACATCTTACGCAATATACCTCTGTCATTGAGGGTTAGAAAAAGAATTCTTGCTTGCTACATGCATCCAGTTTTAACATATGGCTGTGAGTCCTCGACAATCGGTAGGCAGGCCAAAAAATATTTCAAGGCCTCAGAGATGTGGTTTTACAAAAGAATGCTTAAAATACCTTAAACAGCCAAAAAGAGCAACCAAGAGGTTCTGAAAGAGGCGGGAGCCTGAAGACAACTAATCACAGACATCAGAAGGAGACAATCTTCATTTTTTGGCCAGGTTATGAAAAGAGGTAAAATGGAACATGTGACCACTGCAAAGATCTGTGGAAGTAGGTATGGAAGAAGACAACGGGAGAAGATTCTTGACAGTCTTGTTGCATGACATGGAGGTATGTCAGCAGGGATGGGATTTTATAGATGAATGATGAGAACACACTGGTCAGACAAAAAACAAAAGACTATTGAAGATGTCTTGAAAGAAGCTGACTCACGAAGAGAATTTATTACCTACATTAGAAGGGAACATTCTACTTTATTTTGTCACGTAATGAGAAAGAGACACATGGAGTACATCGTGGCAGTGGGAAAGTTGGAGAGGATGAGAAGCAGAGGGAGATCGGGAGAGAAGATGCTGGGCAGTTTGACATCATGGCACGGAGGATCATATGAATCAGAAATGATTGAAAGTACACGAGACAGAAGGTTGGGGATATGTCAAGACTACCAAAACCACGCAGCATGGACTATAAAAAGAATTTAAATAAATTCTTTAGGTGCTTTATTTATATCCAACCCCAGATGACGTCACAGGACAATCCAACATTTTAGAGGGTGGTTGTCGTGAAGTGAGCAGCCAACACTACACAATGGACGAGTCGTGACTCTGACTTCCCTACGCAGACAGTCAAATTTTAAACTTAAACCCGTCCAGAATGGTGTATAGTCTCTTATATTGATATATACCTTTATCTGGTAATTTATTCATTTCTAAACCCTCTAGTTGCTTTGATAAATCTTCATTTTCAAACTTGCAACTTTAGGTTAAAGATTTCTGGTATTTAATTCAGAAATTCATGTACGGTTTACTCCGTAGGCATGAATACAGGGGACTTCTTTCCTAGTGACGCTAAACGTAGTTTGAAGCGGGCATTTTCTGCCTGACTGCCTAGAAGAACAGATGTTCTCAAATGTGCCGCGTACATCTATGCTTTGAGGAGGTGGCCTTTGGTGTCTAGGATATTTCCTAAGCTTGGGTAAGTTGATTATAGTTTACGAGTACCATAAAATATGTCTTTTTAAAGTTGGCCACTGCTGCATAGAGGGAAGTTTCAGCTGTGTGATCGCACAGAGTTGGGCCGTTCTTGATGTCTAGAGATCAGGCTCCGAACATTAAACCTTTCCATGTGCAGACTAAATAGTTTGTGCTCTACATAACCCACTCCATTTGTAAAGATATTAAACCCTACAAGTAATTATTCTGTAACCAAACGTAGGATTTGTATCGACTAATAGACACATGTAAACTGGGTCATCTTTAGCCGGCTTGATACTGTGACAAAAGCAAGCTCGGCGCTCTGAGTCAAAGGTTATTTTTAGCACAACAAAGTGTGTACGGTGAACAGACGGGGGATGGTATAAAATATATATATATATATATATGCGAAAGAGAGAGATGTGATGTATATATACAAGTGCGTGTGGGCGAGGAGAGTTGATGTTCTCTGTTTGATAGTCTATCTGTCTCCACTCTGACACTCATCTCCTGTCACTATTACTGACTGAACAATAGAGATGATATTTAGAGACATACTGTCTCATTATCCTCAGAGCTGTCCTCTGAATGATTACTAATGTGGATGTTAATAAACTGAGCTTGACATGTAACCCCTGAGATGACTGCTAATTCTGAGTTCCTTCTTGATACAGGATGATATCTCCTTGGAAGACAGGCAGTGAATCAGCAGTCCAAAAAACCACCTACAAGGAAGTCACCAATGTCCAAGCCAGTGGTGGGCATCAGATGGTAAAACTAACTGTGGTCATCGAGTAATTAAATCCTCCAGTTGCTCTACAGACAACATTATGGGTGTTGTACCTCCATCATCAGTAATCCGGCAGTTTGTTTCTGCCTCAAGTGTTTAACTTGGTACCTGAGATCCTCTCCAGGAGCTTGGGTGTATCTCCAGTGTTCAAGTGTCTAGTGTGGGACTGTCTTGAACGTAACAACAGAGTGACTGAACATCCAGCCAGTTCAAGAAACCAGGGATTCAGATAAGTGTGGGCAATCATGGGTTTATTGCCAGGCTTCACTGTTAAATGTCCACACTCATCATAAGGATGATCTAGGCAGACTCTGGAACATTCATACACGTTCAGTCAGATCGAGTTTCAAGTTGTGGTCCTTTATATCACTCTGGGTTCTTGAAGTTCTTTGCTGATTCTTATATAATGTATATGTTACACTTATTACAGTATTTCTAGAGTTTCACTATTGACTGGAGTGTCACTCATTCATTGTTCTTAGCTGTCTAAAATATATGTATGTTCAAGTAATAATTTGCATCTGTGTTAACATGGTTATGATAGTATACTATCATAACCTGGGGGCTACTTTTTTATAGTAGTGGGGGTGTCCAGCCAAGTGTGCCTAGGAATATTATATATTTTGTAGTGCCAAAGCTTGAGTTGCCCTACCCCTGAAATAAGTTGAGCGTATATTGGCCACGGGGCATCCTTTAGACCAATACGAGCCAACGACTCAACATAATTATTTCAGAGTGCTGTTGGTTCTTAAGGAGAAATCCTTAAATCAGGCACGTGAAAGGAGCGATATGTGACCGTGTTTCTTGGCTTTCTGATGTTTTTAACCACCCCAAAACATATAGAACTGTCCCTAACCCCCACCCACCTACGTCCCACAAGAGAGGTCCCAAGACTGCATGCAGCCTAGGTCCCACGACTGCATGCAGCCTATCTACCACCCCTGAAATATTAGACTGTCCCGTGACCTGTGGATTTCCCCTGTTTGGGGTAAGAAAAGAATCATTCTTTAGTATGAGTATTACAAAATATTGAGTTCGTGGCAGACTGTGGCATGAAAGAGGGGTAAAAATAATTATGGTAAGTGGAAAAGAATGATGGGCGATATAAACTGAAGGGAGATTAATTTCCTCCTATGTATTACAGTTATAGTAATAATGATTATTATTATTATTTTGACGACGATCAAAAAAGACAAACACTTACCTTTTATATAGAAAGTAATCGCCTCATTCATCGCTTCAGCAATATGACACATGGAATCTGCGTACAACGTCACCAAGCGATGACGCGCCAAAAACTGAGAAGACGTCACATTATCAGTAGCAAGGGCAATGGCAGGGGACACCCGCTCAATACTGAACAGGTAATTTGTTGATTTCGGCAACAGCACCAGGATGTACACAGGTGTTTTGGAACTCATTTTATTGGGTTCTTTCAACGATCCAAGAAAAGGTGATGAATCTATCAAAGACGACGAAGATAAATCCTTGAAATGATGAAACTTATGTCTTCGATGTGAAACTGCAAAATTATGTCTTCCTTCGTATTTTACAATTTCGGTGTTTTTGTCAAAGTCAGATAATGCCTGAACAGGTGTGTCTGCTGAAAACGATGAGCCTGATGAGGGTGTCATACAAAGCAAGGCTGCATTCAATGTTAGAAGACACTCGCAGGATAGATATATCCTCATGTTTACTGAATCTGTTGCCTCCTGTTCTTCTGTGCCCCTTCTGTGTCTTTACGATGATCACCTCGGGCTAGTAAACATTCGCAAATTTGTTTTCGTGAAGAATTTTAGTTTACTTTTTTCTTCTGAAACAAATAACACATAAAATGCATGTTAGTTCAGTCAGTAAAGTAAATGCCTCTTGTCACGTCACTGGAGCGTGGGGTCAAATTTATATCTTTATAGAGCGTCAGTACTACATGGTGATGTAGGCAGTCTTTACGTCCCAGGCTATATCCTGGCACCTATTTTAAATTGAGTCGAACTGGGAGCCTAATTATTACCAACCACCTCGATGAGGATTCGAACCCTTCGGACTGGCAGGCAAGAGTCTTTACACTCCCTCAGCACAGCTCTGACATAACATATATTAGTAGACATATGTGATGGTGAAAACTCTCTGGCCTCTTAAAACCCCAGTCCAAATACAATTTTTGTAGGCTTAGCTCTCTCCGCCCCCCCTCCTCCTCCCAGACCATTTCTAAAATGTGTGAAGTGTCTGTTCGGACCCTCCCAATTATGTTTGCATATTTGTATCCTTTGTAGGTAAGACGTACCTTGATACAAGTCCTTTATCCATTCCAGATCCTTTGACAGATACCAAACAGGACGTTTACAAAACAGGACTACCAAACAGGACGCTTACAAAACAGGACTATACCAAACAGGACGTTTACAAAACAGGACTATACCAAACAGGACGTTTACAAAACAGGACTATACCAAACAGGACGTATACCACACGACTTTTCCCATAGGAAATACACGACGAATGATTAATCCGTTCCAAAATTGGGTGGGGGAGAGGGTCCTATTGATATCGGCATTTTATACACTGACAGGGTTTTTTTTTTTTTTTAAAAATTTAAAACTTAAACGCTACTTTATACCAATTCACATATATACAGAAGAAACTACATGAAAAAGATGACAATTTATCCTCACTTTACATTGCTGACAAGAGCAGAATGCCTACTAGGCTGGTGCTAGGAAAGGAGGAGTAGTTGTATTGTTTGGAAGGTAAGTCTTCTTCCAGTAAAACTTCAGGAATGTAAAAATCTAGTGGTTCTCTCTTTCTTTGTTTGTGTCTCTTTTCCCTACCTAGACGAGGCTAAGGTTCACAAGATCTAGCCCGCCAGTCGTATACCAAGCAACAATTTTGGCGTCTAACTTGATGGATACCAAGTCTGACCTATAAGAAAGGGGATGTATGTCATGAGTTAAAACTATTTTTTGTTTACACATTTCATATGTATTCGCCATTTAGAACATTTATATATATATATATATATATATATATATATATAGTCACCGATATACGGTATATAATGTATATATATATATATAGATATATATATATATCACAGATATATGTTATATATGTGTATATGTATATATATATATATATATATATATATATATATATATATATATATATATATATATATACATACACACACATATACATCGTCATCTGTGACTTAGGCGCTGCGAACAAGCTTCGTAGTGTCGGTTTAATCCCAGCTGTGGACCATTTGTCTTGCGTTGGTTTCGACAGTAGTACCAAGAGCTGACCGTTTATCAAGCAATAGCAAACTACATAATGTACAATTTGCCTAGAAAGACAACAGCAAAATAAAAATGCAGGTGTTGGTTCTGCAACGTTTTTTGAAGGATACTGAACTAACTTTATATATGTATATATATATGTATATATATATATATAGATGGGATGTGGATTGATTTCCACCGGAACGAAGCTGACTACAGGATTTCAGTGAAAATTAAATACAACCACGGGCTTCATTTTACAATATTGTTTGCATTTCTCTCAAAGACCACATCTCGTCTAGGCTGATTGTAGATTTTTGCGATTTTTATGTGTGTGTGTTTTTTTTTTTTTTTGGGGGGGGGGGGGGGGGGGGGGGGGCGTGTGGAGGGACGATTTCTTTGTATTTTATGTATGTCTATTAATTGTTGATGCTTCTCATGTAGTTCAACCAGGCATTACCAGAAGGGAAATTTTAAAATGAACACAGGTGGATAAATGAAGACATTTTGCAACTGATTAACAGAAGACAACAGACTAGAAACGACAAAGTATAATATAATAGGATGAAAAAAGAAATAAGACATAAATATGTCCGCGAAAAAGAAAACTGATTAAATGAACAGTCCAACAAAAGTGAATGAAATTATACAATTTAAACAAAATTTTTAAAACAAATGAGCTGACAGGTGAAAGACTACAATTAAACAGTAGCTGTTTGAAATCAAAAACAGGAGAGGATTTATTAAAAGAATAGCATATCCTAAACAGGTGGAATGAATATACAAGAAATTTATATGATGGAGAAAGAGAAGAATTAATTGAGGAAGGCAGCATAAACCTTGAGGGACCATCACTACTTACAGGAGAAGTCAGTGATGCCATCAAACATGTGAAGATATGTACTAGACTACTTACAGGGGAAGTCAGTGCTGCCATCAAACATGTGAAGATATATACTAGACTACTTACAGGGGAAGTCAGTGCTGCCATCAAACATGTGAAGATATATACTAGACTACTTACAGGGGAAGTCAGTGCTGCCATCAAACATGTGAAGATATATACTAGACTACTTACAGGGGAAGTCACTGCTGCCATCAAACATGTGAAGATATGTACTAGACTACTTACAGGGGAAGTCACTGCTGCCATCAAACATGTGAAGATATATACTAGACTACTTACAGGGGAAGTCAGTGCTGCTGTACTATACATACAGGGAAGTCATGTGCCCATCAAAATGTGATATTGTACTAGACTACTTACAGGGGAAGTCACTGCTGCCATCAAAACATGTGAAGATATGTATGCCTAGACTATCTTACAGGGGAAGTCAGTGCCTAGACTACTTACAGGGAAGTCAGTGCTGCCCATCAAACAGTGCAGATGTGTACTTAGACTTACTTTCCAGTTTGGGAAGTCAAGTGCTGCCATACAAACATGTGAAGATATATACTAGACTACTTACAGGGTAAGTTCAGTGCTGCCATCAAACATGTGAAGATATATACTAGACTACTTACAGGGGAAGTCACTGCTGCCATCAAACATGTGAAGATATGTACTAGACTACTTACAGGAGAAGTCAGTGATGCTCTCAAACATGTGAAGATTATACTAGACTACTTACAGGGGTTACGAAGGGAGTCAGTGCTGCCATCAAACCTGTGAAGATATGTCTAGACTACTTACAGGGGAAGTCAGTGATGCCCATCAAACATGTGAAGATATATACTAGACTACTTACAAGGGGAAGTCAGTGATGCCATCAAACATGTGAAAATATATATCTTAGACTACTTACAGGGGCAAAGTCAGTGATGCATCAAACATGTGAAAATATGTACTAGACTACTTACAGGGAAGTCAGTGATGCCATCAAACATGTGAAGATATATACTAGACTACTTACAGGGAAGTCAGTGATGCCATCAAACATAGTGAAAATATATACTAGACTACTTACAGGGGAAGTCCAGTGATGCATCAAACAGTGAAAACTATGTACTAGACTACTTACAGGGGAAGTCAGTGCTGCATCAAACATGTGAAGATATGTACTAGACCACTTACAAGGGAAGTCCCCCCCCCCCAGTGCTGCCATCAAACATGTGAAGATATATACTAGACTACTTACAGGGGAAGTCAGTGCTGCCATCAAACATGTGAAGATGTGTACTAGACTACTTACAGGGGAAGTCAGTGCTGCCATCAAACATGTGAAGATATGTACTAGACTACTTACAGGGGAAGTCACTGCTGCCATCAAACATGTGAAGATATGTACTAGATCAGTTGGACCAGATGAAATAACAGTAGTAGAACTGGAAGTCCTGAATGACTGTGGAGTAGAGGTGCTGACGAAACGTTCTAGGAAAGATATAAACTCCAACTAAAAGTATATTGGCGAGCTTCACAATAAAACAAACACGAACAAAACGTGAACGTTGCGGCTATATAGCCTTCATCAGCACATACACAAATTAGACAATACTAAACAAATACACAATACCTCTTATCTTCGTATCTCGACGAAGTCAGGTCGATGTCCAGCCAATATACTGACTGTGACACTTGGGAAGAGGAAAATAAATATCCCGGCAAAAGCCAGGGGTCGGAACTCGAGAATAAGATGAAACTGTGTAGGTAGTACAGTGTCCTAGGATTCTAGATGAAGCTGTGTTGGCAGTTTCGTCCACTGGGCGCCAGAGTTCCCAAAAGCCATATATATATATATATATATATATATATATATATATATATATATATATATATATATATATATACATATATATTTCGCTTTTAAATACACTGTGTGAACTCTGACGCTATGTATTGTATATAAAGCGATTGACTGAAACGTCGAATGCTATTTATTACAGTGGATACCTACCTGCAGATGTGCTTAAGTCTGTATTTATAGCTTTACCCAAGAGGCTGTAGGCTAAGGATTGTGAGGTTTTTTTGAACAATCAACCAGAAAACAAGGGGCTAAGAACTGTGGAAACACGTGAACCACTACGCCATACGGCAGGGACAAATGATGATGATTATGACGTCTATTTCTAATACTCCTTTTAATTTAAAAAAAAAATTTAACACACACACAAAACAATGCAGTGCATGCAATATCGCCGATTTTTTTCTCTCAATTTTGAAAAAAAAAAAAAAAAACATCAAGAAAATAATGTTTGAAAGGACCAAGACAAGCGTGTGGTGAGTTGTTTAGACTTCAATAAGTATAAAATACTTGAAAATTGAAAAGAGCAAGCTAAACAGATAGCCGCCGAGACACAATTTTAATATGTGACAAGCCTAGCATATTACAGGAGTCGCCGTGGCAGTGCGGCTAGACGCGCGCCGCGGATCGGAAGGTCGTGGGTTCGGTCCCTGGCGGAGCCGGACTTTTCTT